TAGCCCTTTTGAGGAATTTTACCATTAAGGGGAACAGAGCAATGAGATGGGAGCTTAGAGTAGAAGTGAGAACTAAAGAGAACATTGGAAGATGGGAGAAGTAGTATAGTATTAAAAAAAAAAAACAGGATCTACTCTACTTTCAGGGAAGGAAATATATCTCTCTCTTCCTTGGGGGTTGGGGAGAGCTACGAGCTACACACAATGACTGCCTTCCAAAGAGTACAACATGGAGAGAGGAGGACAGAGTCATTTTACCGTGTAGATACCTGGCAGACATCCTCAGCTCTGGTTAACAGTGATAACTCACATATACAGTACATATCTATGATAAAATGTGATTAAAATGGTGCTTTACCTCTATGGTCTTCACCCCAAAATCCATAACCTGTCTACTAATGAGAAAAGCATCAGACAAATCCCAGCTGAAATACACACAGTACTCCTCAAAACTGTCAAGGTCATCAAAAACAAGGAAAGTCTCAGAAATCATCACAGTCAAGAGGAGGTGAAGGATACAACTAAATGTAATGTGGCAACCTAGAAGGAATCCTGGAACAAAGAAAGCACATTAGGTAAAAAAAGAAGGAAGCACAGATAAAACGTGAACTTTAATTAATAATGTGTCAATATTGTAACAAAGATACTATACTAATGTAAGATGTTAATAATAGGAGAAACTGGGTATAGAGTATATGGGAAGGATATAGAGTAGATATAGGAGCTCTTTATACCAACTTCTAAATTTTTCTGTACATTTAAAACCATTCTAAAAATAAGGACCATTTAAAAATTTAAAAAGGAGGAGGAGGAGGAGGAGGAAAAGGAGGAAGAGACCTAAAGTCCAACCATTTGATTAGGATCCTAGTCCAGCATTTAGTGGACTGTGACTTAAGGTGAGTTACTTAAATTCTCTAATAATCAATTTTCCAATCAATAAAATTAAAACAGGGAAAGAATCTAAGAGAATTTTGTGATAAGTAAATAATAATCCATGTCAAAAGTTTACAATAGTGTCTGTCAAATAATAAGCATTTCATAGATGGCAGCTATTGTTATTACTGCTATTATTTGAAAATTTTATTCAATGTTCAAATGTACTCTAAGATGATTTTACATTTTGATTGTTTTAAAGTAATTAATATAATCTAATATACAGTTTTCTTTCCTTTTTGAAGAAGATAATTGAATATCACCCTATATATAGAATCTAAAAAATGACATCTCCTTTAATCATAAGTGCTACAAAGTTTTATAGTGTGAGCTGCTCCAATTTAAGCTAAATATCTGTGTATGGTCATGTAATAATAGGAGTTGTTACTGTAATGTCAGATTCGTGGGACCCCAATAGACCTCCAGGAGCCGAATTCGATGCAATCACACAAGAGTCTTTATTGCAAGCCCAGGCCTGGACTCACAACCGTTCCCAACACTGTGGTCCCACGGAGTGAGTCCTGGTCCTTTGTTCAGTGAGGATTTATAGATTTTGGAGGAATACTCTGTGTGTCACAACATCACACAGCAAATCATTCCACAACACGGGAAAATCAAACAACAACTTTTAACATTGATTAGCACATTCACTGGCGGGAACAAGTTGGGTAGGGGTGATTGGTTAGTACAAGAGGGGGGTTTCTTTGAACTGATTGGTTTAAACCTCGAGGGGAGTACGTGCTCAACTACATGGTTTCCCAACATGTTATCAACCACCATAAACTACTGGGAGGTCATCTGGCATCCCAGGTATTTTCCCTGTCTCATGCTGATTGGTGGTTGTTAGGGGGTTACTATGGGTCCTTACCTGGCCTAACTGAGTCAGGGACACCTGGTGATGCAGATCTCTCCTGTTATTTGTAGATAAAAAAACTCAGTGGGTATGTGTCTAGGAGTGCTCTATGGGTTTTTCCAAGGACAAGGGTCATGCCCCCTTCCTTGGACAGGCTTTGCTCTGAGGTAGAGGCTGGTTTCTCAAAAATGGAGTCACATCAGTTTCTTATCACCAGAGGTTCTGTATATCTATTATGAAGTCTATGAAGTAAATAACATTTTCTAATTAGGGCTCTTGCTCCTATCATAAAGCCATAAAGTCATTAACATCAACCTGTTATTATATCAGGATCACACTATTTTTAATAACAACAATTGACAAAATGATGTGAAGAGTCATGTGTAGAATATTCTTAAAGATAAAAAGAATTAAGTGAAGTAGAAGAGAATTTGGCCTCACCCATGGTTCCCAAGCCAGGCCAAGCATCAGATTCATACTCACTCGGCATGCAACAAAAGATGCTGGAACTCCGCCTAGACTTACTGAATTAGCTGTTCCAAAAGTGGGTGGGGCAATTTTCTATTTGAAAGCTGATAGGGGTGATTCCAGTGTGTCAGCCACTGGTCTACCTTATCCTGCATCATAATATGGGGGCTGCAAGCATCCATATCTGAGCCACCTCTGTCAATGTAGCCTGATGTTCACATCACAAGAATCCTGATCAGCTTGAGAGAGTTTCACCTATTACTATCACAGTTGTTGTTTTCCATTTAAAATCGGGGTCCCTCTATACCTTCAGAATTTCACCTGGCCTAAGCATAAAAGTGCAGTGTGTGTGTGTGTGTGTGTGTGTGTGTGTGTGCACGCGCTCACGTTGAGGATGGAAACCGGGCCTCTTCGGTGCTGAGCATGCATTCTGCCATTGAGCTACACCCACTACCCCCAGCACATCCTTTTGGTTCAGTATTTTCTATCATTGTTCCTTCCCCTCCTAAAGGTCAAGTTTTCCATTCCTGCATCCCATTGCCACTTTCTTCCTTCACTGTGTCAATAGGGAAACACAGCACATTTAACTCAGTTACCCCGAACACCCTGAACTGGGCATCCTTCCATAGTGCTGAGTTAACAGTTTGTGAAGCAGTTGGTCAGTTTCCAGCTAGGAGATTCAGGCAGTCAATACGCATAACTCCCTGACAGTGAATTATAGCTGGAATATCAAAGAGCAAATATTTTAGATCCCTCCCCTAGAGAATCAAAGGGACAATGACCAGACTATATGTAAAGATAAAACTCTGGCCTATAATGAGTATCAACTCAAGCTCAAGAAGCTAGCCTTCTAGCTACAGTAACCAGTCCAAGACTACTATCTGTAGTAATGAGTCTAGGGAGCCAAACAATTAGCAATTTGGCCCCAAACTGCCAGGACTTGATCAGTATCTAACAACTTGCTTAATTTCTGCTCCTACTTTCAGTTTAAGACCAATTTGAGAAAGCCAAATATGCACACCCAATCAGAGAGGATGCTGGCTCACCTGGAGTTAGCCAGTCTGCAGTCAGACACACCTGAAAACTTCCCACTCTTCTGCTTGCCTTTTGTCAAATGTAACAGCAATGGTGGCTGTTTCGCTTGCTCTGAAGAGATAGCCCTTTCTTGTCCTAACTTGAATCATCTTTATTTATTGCCACAACTAGGAAAACTTGGCTGTATATTTAAATAGCTCACAGAATTTTTTTTTTTTTTGAAGGCAGAAATGCTATGGTTTAGGGAGGTTGTGAGGTGCAGCAAAAAAAAAAAAAAAAAAGAGGACACAGAGGGGAAGTATAGAGTTGCTGTGGTTAAGGGTGCAAACCTTGCATCTACTGTCATGGCTCAAGTCCAAGCTCTGCCACTCGCAGCTGTGTGAACTTGGGCAAGTTACAGAACCAATTTGTACTCCAGTGTCCTTACCTGTTAAAACACTGGTGATGGTGATAGCATCAGACTTTCAGGGCAACTGGGGAGGGGATATAAGACACCTATTTAAAGCAAGAATATCTAGATTTCAGTGTTGTGGAATAGAAAGATCTCCAACAAATTAAGCTGCACTTGCTGGAAAGTAGCAATGCCCAGGGACTGAATGCTGACTGCCCCTTTTTAATGGGACTTAGGTTTTCATATTTTCACTGTCTCCATCAACCTGCTTCATTCATTTATGATATCTACCTGGCCCTCTATTCACTACTTGTGCACTGAACTAAAACATATTTCCTGCACAAATTCAATGATTGTAGGAAATCTATAGGTACAAATATATATGTCCTATCTCAAAAACATCTCAAACATATTTGGTAGAGAAGAGCTCTTGTCTCTCAAATACATGCTGAAAATCTATGCTTTCCATAAATCAGAGTCAAGTGCCCTTTCTGAGATTTTTTACTGAAGGGCCATAATTCAAGATTATAGAGCTTAAAATATACAAATGATTTTTATATAACTAGAAGTCCAGTGCTATAGTTTCAGAAAACGTACACACTTTGTGTATCCAAAACCAAGAAAACTTCCTCTTCATAGGTTTTCTGATATTCTTGGTAAGAAAATTTACTATTTCAGACAATGGAAAAGCTGTTTTGACATAGTCATATTTAGCATGAGCTATCAAATCTAATCCAAAACACCGTACAAAACAAAGATTTTTGTCTGAAATTATTTCTGATGATTACACTCAACACTTCCAAAAGGCAGTTGCTCAACTTTCCAATCTGCATAAAATGGAGTTTTGAAACCAATTTTTCTAAATAGTCATTCTTCAGAATAAACTTTCATTCCACTACGTTGTTAAATAAGCAAGATATGTTTAAGAGCCAGGATAGTAAATTACAGTCTAATTAACTTTAGCATTTCATTTGTAAGTAAGTTGGGGACTCAGAAGCGCACTGTAAACATCAAAGGATAAACCTGTTAAAGTTCTCAAAATGATTTACTATGAAAATTCTATTCCGAGTTGACTCTGCAATGACAGACATCATATTTGAAGACCACGAACCGAAAGGCAGGAATAGTTCGATGCTGTCCTGAGGTATCTTTCCCAAGTTCACTTGATTATGCCGCAAAGACTTCCCAAGTTTCTTTGGACGCGAAGGGGAGCGAGCGTGTGGGTCTCGGGAAGCCTGTGCCCGAGCCAGTGCGGGTGGGAAGCTCCGGGCCGCGCAGTTGGGCTCCCCGCCGCCCCGCCCCGCTCCGCCCCACACTCACCCAGGCCGCGCCAGCCCAGCGCACCATCGCAGCTGTCCAGGACCGCGCACAGCTGGCCCAGCAGCGTGGGCGGCAGGTCGAACAGGAGCGTGTGCGCCGAGAGCGCGCCGCAGGCCCCGCAGCTCCCTGCCATGGCGCGGCTGTAGGAGGCGCAGGGGGATGCAGAACCCCGGCCTCTCGATAGCACCTCGCCCCGTTACACAACCGCGGAAATCTTGCTTCCACGACCGCAGCCCGGACCTCAGAACGTACCGTGCCCTGGCGCCACAAGGGGCGGTCCCCACGTGACGCAAAGCGCCGCTCCCTAGAGTGCCCCTAAGGACCTCGGGCCTGGCAATGAGGTTTCCCTGCCTCTGGCTCTTGGTTGGCTTCCTGTTTTGAAGGGTTCTTTTGTTCCGCTGGGTGGAGTGTGACCCAAGAGAACAACCAAAGAGAAAGATTAGGATTTCAGGACTTTTAGGAACTTGTGCGCCCACCACCCCTTCTGCCTGTCCTGGGATGGGCTGTCATCTGGCCTGGATTATTATGAGTTCTGTCTTCATGTCTTTTTTTTGTGGGGGAGAGGGTGGAATAACTGGGGATTTAACCTTGGACCGCTTTATCCCTGAGCTACACCCGTCAGCCCTTTAAATTTTGAGACAGGATTGCACTAAGTTGCTTAGGGCCTCACTAAATTGCTGAGGCTGGCTTTGAACTTGTGATCCTCCTGCTTCAGCCTCCCAAGCTGCTGGGATTACAGGCGTCCACCAACACGTGGGGCTGTCTTGACAAAAGTTTATATCATGTCGTTCTGTCAGAAGAGATATGTGTTCATTAGGAACACTTAGAAACCCCAGAAAAATTAAAAGAAGAAAATAATCACTTGTGACCCCACTCAACTGAAGACAGCCCCTGTCAAGTTTTGGGCATATTTTCCTCCCAACTCTTAACCAAATTTAAACAGATGGAAAAAAAAAAAGTGCATGCGTGGAGTGATTGCTGGGAAAGATGGGCATAGAGGTCAACAATAGAAAAACTAGAGGCACCAAGCAAATCAGAGTAAAGTGTTTCAGAAGGCAGCTCCTCCTCTATACTATGATTTAGTTTTAGTACATTTTCTTCTCCCTAACTTTCCTGATGAAACTTTGACCATCTTTTTCTTTCTCAAAGTGCTTCACCAAATGTTTCTTTTACTTCATCATGGAGTTTAAGAAAAATAGCTGTTTAAAAATCTTCTATCGTTTATACCATTATACTCTGCCACAGGCATGATACAAGTGCACTGACCAAAAAAAGAGAGACAAATGCTTCAAAAATGGTGAGAAAAATCTCAACTTTAAAGACTGGAAGAGGAGATGGCCCAGTTAGCACTAGCAGTTAGCACCCCTACCTGAAGTTCCAAAAAAAGTAGTATTCCATAAAAACATACTTGAAAATTGATAAAATCTGTGCTGTTTGGCAGGAGTTTCCATATCCCTTCATTCAAATGACTAAGGTTTTATTGTCAAAGTGTAAATGCCTTTGAAATTCCATCTCTTAAAGGGGCTACTGAATATGTTGAGCATCAGAGGCAAAATACAATGAAGTACTGTATTTAGAAAGTCTTGAATTTCTAGAACAGGAGAGGCAAACTCAAATATGCAGAAGAACCAGGAAGTCAATGAAGGCGAGTTATGTTCATTAGCTTCCTGTCACTGTGACAAAATACCTGACTTGACCAACTTAAAAGGAGGAAACTTTTATTTTGGGTCATAGTTTCAGAGGTTTCAGTTCATGGTCCTTTGGCCTCCATTACTTTGGGGCCTATAACAAGAAGGTACCTCGGTGGTGGGAGTGTGTGGTAGGGAAGGTTGCTCTCCTCGAGGTAGCTGGGAAGCCAAAAGGGGAAAGAGCATGCCCCCCATGTCTTCATTTCCTTCCACTAGGCCCTAGTTCCTAAAGGATCCACTGTTGCCCTGTAGCACCAGATGCTGGTGAGCAAACCTTTATCATGTGAACCTTTATGGAACATTGAAGAGCCAAACCATAACAGTGAGGGAAACACTCAGAAATGCCTGCTTTGCTAATTCACCAAGAAGCAAGGATTTTAAGTGAAAGCTAGGTTATGTAAAATCTGCATTTCCAGTACTGGGTTATCAGACCATGTCCCCTCCCTATCCTAAAATTGCCTTTGAGTTTTCAACTTTATGTCATCAGTTTCAGCACTCACTGATCTTCCCTGTTGCTGTCCCCCAAGGGTTCTCTCCCAACCTGATTCCTCTTCCTCATTTTTGGACTCTAGTTCCTGACTTACTATCACTCTTTCCAATACTAATCCTATATTACTTCTAGGGGATTTAACATCTATGTAGTATAGATGATGAACTTTTCACTACCCTAGCTTCTCAGTTCCTTGATTCCTCTCCTCCAGTGACCTTGAGCCCCACTCTCCGTTTCAGCCACTCATGTCAATGATTATTCCCAGTCTTGTCATTATCATTAACTTTACGCTATCCCTAACTTCTGTTTCATGATTCTGCTCTCTCACCACACCTCCTATTCTTGTAAATCATTCCCTCTATTGCTCTGACTTTAAAAACCCTTCCCCTTACCAGGATATTGAATCCAAAATCATGTTGCCTCTTTTCTGCCCCCACCCTCTTGACGTCTTTTCTCTTTATCCATAAAGTCCACAGTCAATTATTATAATCACTTCCTTGTGAATGACCTCTGTTGCCTGGTTCCTCTCTCACTTTGCTGAACTCTCCTGGCAAATCTATCATCTTTTTTTTAATTTATTTTTTATTTTTTAGTTTTTGGCGGACACAACATCTTTGTTTGTATGTGTTGCTGAGGATCTAACTGGGGCTGCACGCATGCCAGGSGAGCGCGCTACAGCTTGAGCCACATCCCCAGCCCCCTATCATCTTGATTACATCTAACTTTCCAAGTTTTGGCTCTGCATCYATGTACTRTGCTGTAGCTATAAAAGACAAAARCAATTTTTAAAAATCCACTAATCCTGCTATTTTGAACCCATTTTAAAATCAGTTATGACTCTTTTTATGCTGTCAAGGATTAATACTATGCATCTTTATTCCATTTATTCTTCTAGTGTCTGTGAAAACTATATTATGCTTTCTCTTCTCTCCTCAATCCCCATCACCTTCCCCCCATCCTCATGCTCAGTTGATGACCTTGAGAATGTTTACTGAGAATACTGATGCATCATGGGGGGGTGGGGAACTTTTGCAGAATCTCCCTACCACATTCACCTATCTACTAACATATGTACTAACATACAATTTTCCTCTTTTCCTATAGATGGGATGTCCAGGATCCCATCTAAGTCTAATTCTTTTACTTGTAAACTTAGTCCTATTCCTGTCCCTGAATCAAAGGCACCAAAGGCAGCTATTTTCCATATCTCTACTATTCAGTTCCAACACAATACAAATATGATATCATTTCTTTCACCTAAAAAACTAAATTATTTGGTGCCACTTCTTCCTTCCATTCACCACACCATTTTTTTTTTTTTTGCACTTTTTGGTGGTGCTGGGGACCAAACCCAGGGCTTCACACATTCCAGGCAAATGCTCTACCACTGAGCCACATTTTTAGCCCCTTTGCTTCCTTTTAGGGTAAAGTTGGATGTTCTCATTATATTCAAATTTTCTCCTCCTATTGTCTCTTAAACCTACTCTCCATTGAAAGTGCTATCTTTCAGGTTCAGCCATGTCCTCCACAGTGTAACCAAAATACTATAGGATTTTCAGTCCTCGTCTTACCTAATCTGTCATAGTTATTTTTTTTTCTGATATTGGGGATTGAACCCAGGGACACTTTACCACTGAGCCATATCTCCAACCCCCTTTTTTTTGAGACAGGGTCTCATTAAGTTTCCTAGGGCATTGAGCATGCAATCCTCCTGCCTCAGCCTCCAGAGCCACTGGGATTCCAGGCATGCACCACCATGCCATCCTGTCAGTAGTTTTTGACACACTTGATCTCCCCCTCCTTCTTGGACACTTTCTTCATCTGACTTCCAGGATATCACATTCTCCAATGTTTTTCACTTACCTCCCACTGCATATTCCTCTTCTGTTCCTCCTCTTCCTCCTGAACTGTTAAAATGGAAATGTCATGCAGCTCAACCTCTGGTTCTATCTATACTGACTCCCTTGGTGGTCTCAATCAGTTTCAAGGTTTTCAGTACCACCTGTGTACCAAAGACAAATTTATGTGTCTATCCCAGACTTCTCTTTTGAACTCCAGAGACAAGAGCAAAATTCAACGCTTGATCCTGACTCGTGAACCTGTTCTTCCCATATTCTTCCTATCTAGGTTAGCACAACTCCATCTTTCTAGTTCCAAACTAGAGTCATCCTTGACTCCTCAATTTCCTTACAGTGCACATTTAATTTGCAAGCAAATACTGTTTATTCAGAAAATATCTAGAATCTGACCATTTTCCTGACTCTGCTTCTCCTGGTTTGAGCCACCTTCCTATCTTGTCTGGATTACTATTGTAGTCTCCAAGAGCAGCTTCCATTTTTGCTCCCTACAGCCTTTCTTCCATATTGCAGTGGATCGACCCTTTTACATCTTGACTAATAATGTCATTCCTCTGTTGAGAAGTCTGCAGTGACTCCTAACCTCAGTCAATAAAAGTTTGACTCTTTTGGTGAACTGCATTCTACCTCCCCTTCCCATTCCGCTCCTTTGCCTTTTACCCCATTAACTTGTTTCTTTCTCTGCCTTAGCTTCTTTCTCCCTGCTGGCCCTGAGCAGAACCAGGAAAGTTCCACATCAAAGCTTTTATACTTGCTATTTGCTTACCAGTATATTTTTTCAACATGGCTAAGGTCTACTGTGACTTCAAATTTAAGCTTACAGAGATCCATATGCTCAGATTTGGGCTAAGTTATGACTTAATTGGTTCAATACATTTATAGCTTGGGGAAATTCTATCATACCTCTCTTACTCTCTAACTATCTGGACAGGAACATATAGCAGCTCTGGTCATTTCTGGGAGCCATTTTTGCAATCACATAGAGGTCAATATTAGAATGAAATGAGCCCTGGGAATGATCTAGTAAGAGGAAAAACTGGGTCCTTGATAAGGTCATTGATCAGTTCATTTGTTCTGTGTCTGAATCCTATCTTGCTTATGGACTTATACAAGCTAAATACCCTTCTTAAAACAGTTTTTAAGGGGCTGGAGTTGTAGCTCAATGGCAGAGCACTTGCCTCGAACATATGAGGCACTGGGTTTGATCCTCAGCACCATATAAAAATAAATAAACAAAATGAAGATATTGTGTCCATCTATAACTAAAAATTTTAAAATAAACAGTTTTTAAGCCAGGAATCTTACTTGCAACAAACTACATCCTAGATAACATATTGACAGAAATTCAGTAATACTCTCTGGTTTGTTGAGCTCTTATAAAACTTCTGGGAAAGAGACTAAACCCTGTTCAAAACTGTAGTTTAAATGTATAGAACTATATCTGGCAGAATGTGAGACAGACATGGAAACTGTTGCAGAGAGGGGCAACAAGGCCACTGAATAATGATGTAATGGTAGATGTGATTATTATTGGATAGAGGAAGGTCATTCTGGCACGGGCAGTCTCTTCCTTGAAACTACCAAGGTGCTCACTACAAATCACATCATTAGATAGATTCAAATACATTGGAACAGGCCTCATTGTTAATAACAAAAACACTCCTATTACTATAGAAATTTCAAGGAGTTTTGAAGTTCTGTGGCCAAAATCAGAAACAAAACCCAAACATTTTTAAAATCATACCATACATTCATTACCACAAGAGTACTCCTCAAAGAAGGTATCAGTGCAATCTGCACATTACAGACAGGAAATTTGACTAATTACGAAACTACATGGCTAGGGCTGGTGTTATGGCTCAGTGATAGAGCATTTGCCTAGCATGGGTGAGGCACTGAGTTTGATTCTCAGCATTATATATAAATATATGAATAAAATAAAGGTYCATCAACAACTAAAGATATATTTTTWAAAAACTATGTGGCCTTTCAGCTTAGCTTTCTCCCAATTTGTTTTATCTCCAAATAAATCCACATTAAATAGAGTTTTCATCACATTATTTCTTTAAAAGAGGTGTCAATGGCTCTCCGTTACAAAATAGAGTCATACCATTCAAGATTCTTTAAGACTATTTTCTGATGGTTATGTTCATTCCTACCACTGGCCATTCTCACCCCCACTCCTTTCCTCCTGCCTTCTGATAATCTCCCCATTCCTAAATAGCAATCATTCCTATCTTTCTTGTAAGATTCAATGAGGGAGAAAGGTAACTTTATTGAATACCTACAATCACAGAGCTGAAAGCTTTACACGGTATCTCCATTAAAACTCTAGCACTCTGCAGTTTACATATTCAAATTTTTATTTTACATTGGAGTAATGCCTGGAGATATTGATTTAGGTGCTTGAAAGCAAGTGTATTAAATTTCAGACTCAAATTTATTTGACTCTAAAACCTCAGGCTCTTTTTTAGTAATCCATAAGACTTATAAACCTCCTATACTCTGGCCCTTAAAGTTGAGTTGTAGATAAAACAATTTAAAAAATGGAAAGATAGTTGCATTTTATATCTCTACTGCCTTTAGTGTTAAATGCAGGTTATTATCCACAAGCAAAAACAAAAACAAAAAAAGTATGTGTTTTCTAGCTAATCCAGGGATAAGGACAGAATTATAGTCTAAGAATAGTCCACAGTAGATTTTAACTAGGGGGTTGTAAAACAAATATTAGATGACTAGAAGAGAAAGAGGAGCAGACAGAAAGAAGAGGAAGTATATAGATAGGTCTTTAAAACTACTAAAATTTATTTTAGAACAGAGATTTTATTTACAAAATACTTTCCTTAAAATTATAGCTTTCGAAGAAATAGAGGAACAATACGACACTAAGCTATTGGATTCCATGCCTGTAAGTAAATTCTTTATTGTCACAAGATAACTTTCTTATCTAAACTGAGGGAGCAGATTTTGAGAAACTAATGATAAAAGCTATTGATAGCATTAAGGATTTAATTTCAGAATAGACTGTTCCTCAACTATTCTGAGTCTCATTTGCCTTTTGGTCTTTTGGGTGCTTAGGCTAAAACAAGGACTGAACAATGTGTGTGAAGCAAAGTAAATGCATCAAAAACATTTCAAGATGTTACAGAGCTGGGTTCTTCTGGGAAACTGAGACATCACAAAGAACCACCCCTTCCTCAAATCCTGATTCTTGCATTCAAGTCAGAAAGATTCCAGACAGGTCATTCAGTAATAGGCAATGTATTTATTAGAAGGTATAGGAACAAGTAAAGGAGACATTCTCAAGGGAGAGAATGGGTCCTCTCAGAGAGGAGAGGGACAGTGTGCCTTTCCAGTACTCCAGTTTTATTGGCAATCCCAGAGAAGTTTCCAGAGACTCCCATGCAGGTCCACCTCTTGACTTCTTACTGACAGCTAGATGACATCAGACTTTCAAGTTCCCACTGCCATGACAACTCTGGCCCATGATGGTTGGTTCTAATTGGATTCTTAACCATAAATTCTTACAGGTCTTATGATTAAAAGGAATTATTCTTATCTTTCCCCACGTTTCAGGATCTGAACTGTGAAAGGGGTCGCAAAAGTATCCCCCTTCAGGGTAACTTGTGTTCTTATCGACATTATTTCTAAGCTGCATTTCTCCTGCAGAAAACAGGTAGTTTGTTGAAGAATGTGACAAATCCTGGCCACTTAAGCCAACCTAGGCTGAAGGTAAATTGCTTCTTGGAAAAGAAAGCATGTGGGGTTCAGGGCAGCACAGGAGGCCCATTTTATAGACTTTTCCTCTTAATCTCATGTTCCCACTACTTGCATCTGTCTGTCCCCTATCAAAGGGAACTTGGATGGTATTATTCTGGGCATGTCTACACCTCATGTTTGTACAGAAATGACAACAAAATCATGAATATTTTGATCCACTGTATTTGCCACCATCTTCTCTCGTAGTACACTATCCTCCTTTCCCTGCTTTTGATTATGACCGATTCCAATGTGCTGTATGTACATTGGCAGTCAGGGATCTGAACTTTATCCAGTCTCAGTCTTTGCCATCTGTCCCCTACACTGACTAAGCTTTGTCCTCTCAGTCTTTGCAAAGGGTTCCTTGAGAACCTACCCACATCACTGTTCTCCGGTTGGCTCTTGTTGCCTTTCAGGAATAAGCCTTTTTTTCACTCAGAAAGTGTGGTTAATAGAAAGTGCCCAATAAATGTTGGATTATTATTAATAATGATACAATTAAAAGCTCTCTAGTATGATTATTGAAGTGAACGAATGAAGTGGGTATTTATACTCTTTTAACACTTTTAGCAACTTTCCTGGAGAGAGGATCTAAAAATTTGTTGAGGAAAAAAATGAGAAAAGTTTCCCTGTAGATGACTTGTGGAAGTGCTACCCGTGTTCTCTCTTATCCGAACCTGCAGCAATCTCCTTTTTTCAGACTAACTGCAATCTTTAAGGTGAGGTCATCGACCAGCTCGGGGCTCGTCCCACCGAGGCAGCTCGGCTAGTTCTGGCTGATCGCTTCATCCCGGAAGCAGGTTGAAGGCCGTTGTGGTCACTGTGGTCTCCCTGGCTCGGTCTGCCCAGGAGTGAAGGGGTTGTGTTGTCGCCATGGGCGACCCTGACCCCCGCTACCCTTGCTCCTCAATCGAGGATGACTTCAACTATGGCAGCTGCGTGGCCTCCGCCAGCGTGCACATCCGAATGGGTAGGTGCTGCCCCGCCGGCCCGCAGAGGCCGGCGTCTCCCCTGGGAGCTGGGGCTCCCGGGATTCAGTTCCCCAGCGTCGCTCGGAGTCGCTGGGTGCTGAGCTCCGGAGCGGAACAGGAGCCCGCGGACGCCCGAAAACCGCAGCAGCCTCAATTTGGCATCTTTAAATTAAAAGAATGGAAGGGTCACTTTGATGAAAATCAATTAACTATGTGAGCCTTATGACGTCCACCCCTATGGAGCCACTTATGTGTTTGCTTTAAGGGGCATAAACACGTTGAAAGTCTTTATTTTCTTGTCTGTCTGCTTTGCTCCACTGCAAGCTCCTTCAGGCCCAGACCGTATCTGTTGCTCTATTTTCTTTGCAAGGCCTAGAATTCAATATGGTTGACTATTACTGGGGCAGATGCTGGAAATAGAAACTTCCTAACTCAAGTCTAAAGGCCCATGTTAGTTTTAGATTGTTATACAGAATCCTGTGGGCCGACATTATTTCGGATTTAAAGGGCTCAGTGTCATGTAAGTGGAATTCATTGTCTGCCCTAGTTCATCCTCTTTTTTTTTTTTTTTTAAAGAATAAGGCAGAGCTTTTATTTATTTTTTTTTTAGAGAGAGAGGGGGGGGAGAGAGAGAGAGAGAGAGAGAGAGAGAGAGAGAGAGAGAGAGAGAGAGATTTTTTTTAATATTTATTTTTTAGTTCTTGGCAGACACAACATCTTTGTTTGTATGTGGTGCTGAGGATCGAACCCCGGCCGCACGCATGCCAGGCAAGCGCGCTACCACTTGAGCCAAATCTCCAGCCCCTAGTTCATCCTCTTGATCTTAGAAGCTGGCCAGATTTTCATCCTGTCTGGGCAGCTGGCACTGGTTCTGGAAAAGGAATTATGAAGATAGTTCTGATATATTATAAAAAATCTGGGTGCTTAGCATTGATATTTCAGGGATTGAGTTTTGAAATTATTTTAATAAATGAGCTCAGCATTAAATTTGTTTTCTAAATTGTGGCAAAACAAACATAACAAAAAATTACCAAATTACCATCTTAACCATTTTTAAGTGTACATTTCAATAGTATTAAGTATTTTCACATCGTTGTACTTCCAATCTCCAGAATTTACCACCGCCACCACCACCATCACCATCATTATACTTCTTGTGTATAAAATTTAACTACCCTAAATACCTCATATGGCCAAGCACCCTGGCCAACGCCTGTAATCCCAGCAGCCCAGGAGGCTGAAGCAGGAGGATCACAAGTTCAAAGCCAGCCTCAGCAAAAGCCAGGCACTAAGCAACTCAGTGAGACCCTGTCTCTAAATAAAATAAAATAAAATAAAATAAAAAATAGGGCAGGGAATATGGCTCAGTGGTTGAGTGCCTTTGAGTTTAATCCCCCTAAATAAATACCTCATGAATGGAATTATAAACACATTGACTTTTTGTTAACTGAATTATTTCAATTAGCATATCTTTAAGGTGCATCCATGTTGAACATATGTCAGAATTTCCTTTTTAGGCTGAATAATATTACATTGTATGTATATAACAAATTTTATTTATCCATCCATTGATGGAAGTATTTGCATTAATTCTATCTCTTGCCATTGTGAAGGCTGTTATGAATATAGATGTGCAATTATTTCTTGAGACCCTGTTTTATTTTGAATATACATCCAGAAATATAATTATTGGATTATATGGTAAATGTATTTTTAATTTTTTAAGGAACTGCCATACCATTTTACATTCTCACCAACAACATACAAGGGTTCAGATTTCTTCACATCCTTGCCAATACATATTATTTTCCATGTGTGTTTAAATGAAAATAGTCATCCAAATGATTGTAGAGTGATAACTCATTTTCATTTTGATTTGTATTTGATAGTGATAGTGAACATTTTTAAAGTATGCTTGTGGGCCATTTGTCTATATTCCTTGGAGAAATTTTATTCAAGTCCTTTGCCTAAGTTTTTAGAAAATAGGTTTTATTAAAGCAATTTTAGGTTCATAGCAAAATTGAGCAGAAGTTACAGATTTGCTACATATCCCTTGCTGCCCTACAAAGTCTCTTGCCTGAATCAATATCCTACACCAGGGAGGTATATTTGCTACAGTCAATGAATCTAGGTTGATATAGAATCAGCCAAAGTCCATAGTTCATACTAGGGTTTGCTCTTGATGTTATATGTTTTATGGATTCTGACAAATGTATGATGACATCTGTTTGCCATTATAGTATCATACAGGATAGTTTTCACTGCCTTAAAAAATTCTCTGTGCTCTGCCTGCTTATCTCTCCCTCTTGGCTAACCTCTGGCAATCACTCATCTTTTCCTGTCTCCATAATTTTGCCTTTTCCATAATGCTAAGACATTCCAGAATCCTTTGGAAGCATAGTTGAAATCATACAATGTGTAATTTTATCAGATTGTCTTCTTTTACTTACTACTATAATACCCATTTAAGATGGTTCTGTATGCCCTTTCATGCTCAATGGCTCATTTACTTTATACACACACACACACACACACACACACACACACACACACACGTATTATGGTAGATAGACACAATATCTATATTTTATTTTTATGTGTGCTGAGGATTGAACCCAGTACCTCACACATGCTAGGCAAGCTCTCTACCAACTGAATTATAACCCCAGCCCTCATTTCCTTTTTATTCTGAAGAATATTCCATTGTTTAGGTATACCAGTTTATTAATTCACCTTCTGAAGGACATCTTGACTGCTTCTAAGTTTTGAAGCAGTTATAAATAAAGCTGTTTTGTAAAATTCATGTGCAGATTCTTGTGTGAACATGTTTTCAGCTCACGTGGGTAAATACCACGGTGTACAATTGCTGGGTCACATGAATCAAAGTATATTTAGTTTTGTAAGAAAGCGCCAAACTATATTCCACAATTTGCATTCCCGTTAGCAATGAATGATGGTTCTTATGCTTCATCTTCACCAGAATTTGATGTTGTCAGTATTTTGGATTTTGGCTGTTTTAATAGGGGTATAGTTGTAGCTCATTGCTTTAATTTGAAATTCTCTAGTAACATGATATTGAGCATCTTTTTATATGTTTATTTGCTACCTGTTTTCTTTAGTGAGGTGTCTATTCAAGTCTTTTATCCATATTTTAGTAAGGTTGTTTTCTTATTGTTGGGTTTTAAGAGTTCTTGTTTAGTTTGAATAATAGCCCTTTATCAGATACCTCTTTCACAATTATTTTTTCCCAGTCATAACTAATCTTCTTATTCACTAGATGTTGTGCATTTTTGAATCAGATTATTTGTTTTCTGTTGTTAAATTCTAGAATTTCTTTACATAGTCTAGATATTAACCCCTTATTAAATATATGATTTGCAACCCATTCAGTGAGTTGCCTTTCTACTCCATTGATTATGCCCTTTGATATACAGATTTTTTTTTAATCTAGTCCTTTAATCTAAGTTTCCTTTTGTTGCCTATGTTCTTTGGTGTCATGTTCAAGAAACCATATTGCCAAGCCCAATGCATGACATTTTTTCCTTGTTTTCTTCTAAGACTTTAATGGTGTTAGGTATTTCATTTAAGTCTTTGATCCATCTTTAGGTAATTTTTGTATGTGGTGTTAAGTAAGGGTTCAACTTCATTCTTTTTACATGTGTATATCCAATTTTCCCAGCATCATTTATTAAAGAGACTTTTATCTTTTTTCCATGGAGTGATTTTTTTGATATGTACAAGGTTTTATTCCATTGATCTATGTGTCTGTCTGTATGCCAATGCCACGCTCTTTTGATTACTGTAGCTTTGTAATGAGTTTTGAAATCAAGAAATGTGAGAAAATTTGTTCTTTTTAAATATTATTTTTTTAAAATTTTTTAGTTATAGATGGAAACAATATCTTTATTTATTGTGAGACAAGTGCTCTACCACTGAGCTACAACCCCAACCCTTAAATATTTTTTTGCTATTTGTGATTCCTTGAGATTCCATGTGAATTTTAGGATGAATTTTCTGTTTCTGCAAACAACGCTGAGGAAATTTTTGATAGGAATTGCATAAAATCTCTAGACCATTTTGGATAGTATATCTTAATATTAAGTCTTCTGTGAACATAGGATATCTTTCTATTTTTTGTCTTTTGTAATTTCTTTCAGGAATGTTTTATAGTTTTTCATGTTTGTCTTCTTGGTTAGGTTTTTCTCTAAATGTTTTATTCTTGTTAATGCAATTCCAAATAGAATTGTTTTCTTAATATCCTTTTCAGCTTTCTCCTGTGAGTGTAGAGAGATGCAACTGACTTCTGCTAGTTAACTTCTCTCTCACGACTTGCTTGATTCATTTATTATGAAATTTTTAGAGTTTTTTTTATGTAAGATCCACATTCATGTTAATGTGATCAGACATAATTGTACTTCTTTCTTTCCATTTTGGATGTCTTTATTTCTTTTCCTTGACCAGTTGCTTTGGTTGGGACTTTCAGTGCTATGTTGAATAGAAGTGGCAAAAATAGGCACCCTTGACTTATTCCTGTCTTAGAGGAAGAACATGCAGTTTTTCACCATGTGTGATGTTAGTGTGGGCTTTTCATCTGTGGCCTTTATTGTGAAAAGGTAGTTTTTCAAGACTTAGTTTATTGAGTATTTACAACATGAAAGGATATGGAACTTTTGCCATATGCTTTTTCTGCATAAATTAAGTTGATCATGTTTCTCTTCCACCCCATCATACTGTAACCACATCAATAGATTTTCAAATATTGAACAATCTTTACATCTCAGGAATAAATCTCATTTGGTCATGACATATAGTCCATTTAATGTATTCTTGAATCCTGTTTGCTAGTGTTGTGTTGAGGATTTTTGCATTAATATTCATCAAGCATATTGCTTTATAGTTTTCTTGTAGTACCTTTGGCTTTGATATCAGAGTAATGCTGGTCTCACAGAATGAGTTTGAAGTGTTTTCTTCTCAATTTTTTGGAAGAGTTTGAGGAGGATTGGTGTTGTATCTCAGCTTTGTAGTACATGTTTTTTGAGCCATTTTTTAGGCATTCTCAGATTATATTCAACAGTAACATAGACCATTACTTTAGAGTAATTAAGAACTGGTCCACAAGTACTAGGAGTGAATGAGAATTAGCTGACAAATAGCCATTTTGTAAAACTGTTCTGTTTTTAATCATTTGCTTCTTTGTATGCTATTGTGTACAAATAGGCATTTGGCATTTTCCTTTTGTTTTGATGAAAACACAATCTGGCCAGTAAATTTAATTTTTTAAGCTCATATTTTTTGGGGAGGATTATATATACCCTATGGGTTTTTTTTTTTTTTTTTTTAAAGAGAGAGGATAGAGAGAGAGATTTTTCAATATTTATTTTCTAGTTCTCGGCAGACAAAACATTCTTGTTTGTATGTGGTGCTGAGGATCGAACCCGGGCCGCACGCATGCCAGGCGAGCGCGCTACCGCTTGAGCCACATCCCCAGCCCCCCTATGGGTTTTTAATTACTTTGGAGGCTTTTCCTTTTTTACTAGTTTTAGTTAGTGATAACTCTAAGATATAAGAAAGAATGCATGTAAAAACAATTTTTCTAAAAGAAATTTGGTCTTATAGTTCTCTATAAATCCTTAAGAAAATAATCACGTGTAATATTTTTCTTTTTTAGCTTTCCTCAGAAAAGTCTACACCATACTTTCTCTGCAAGTTCTCTTAACTACGGTGACCTCTACAGTGTTCTTATCCTTTGAGTCTATACGGACCTTTGTACATGAAAGGTAAAGTAATAGGATAAATCATTTTCAGACATTACATATGATCAAAAGGATATATGCAAACACAATTCAATTATTTTCTGTAAACGCCTATAAAATTAGTTTTGTTTTTGATGAACAAAAATGTTTCACAGCATGGTAATTTATCTCTTTTTAGTTTATGGTTTTTTAGGGTTAAGGTTGTTCTCTTGGAATACCATTAAAAATTTTTACTGCAGGTAGTTTGAAGTCTTAATTATTTTTACTTTTTTAGACTGCTCTGCCCACAAAGCCTAAGACAGTGTTTGAAAAACAGGTACTTAATAAATGTGCATTCATTTTAGTTTTGGCTCATAACTAGTATAACTTTACTGAGAAGTTTCAAGAAGAGTTCTACTTTATCCATCCCTAATTAAAATTTTACTTCCAACATAATTATCTCTATGACTAAAAATAATATGTTTAATATAGTTAAAGGAAAGGGAAAATAAAGAATAGTTTTATAAAAGTAAAGAGGTTTTGTCTCCACTTTCCCTACCAAAAGAAAATCTTACTTGCTATTTGGGATAAAATAATCTAAAAGTATACCCAGATGGTGAAGTAGTTATATATAAAATTTATTTACTATTTAGTATCTTTCATTTATTGCATTTTATTTATGCAAATAGTATGCTAATTACAGACATTACTTAAACAGGTGAAGTTCAAAAAATACAAAAGGAAAGTCTTTCCGAATTCCTGTGGGCTCTGTCCTGTTCCTCCCCACCTTATCCCTCTCAAGTTTCCCAGATATAAGAATAATTTATTTTGATAGCTTGGTGTGGATCATTCCAGATTTTTTCTTATACTTTTATGAAAACACAAAATACATAGATAAATTTTATTAAATTGGCTAACACTCTTCATGGTATTTTTAAACTTGAAACTTTTTGTAATATTATGTCTTTCAGTCCTGCCTTGATTTTGGTGTTTGCCCTCGGATCTCTGGGTTTGATTTTTGCATTGACCTTAAACAGACATAAACATCCTCTTAACCTGTACCTGCTTTTTGGATTTGTGAGTACTTTGGTGATGTCTGCTTCTTTAACAATAAGGGTTTTCAAAGTATTTACTTAATTGGATGCAAAAACAGATATAACGATGACAGAACAAAATGGAGTTTTATTTTTAATTAGGGTAGTATAAGAAATCACTAGTAATTTTGTAGGATTTTAGAATTTTAAACACTTGTCACTGTCAAAGTTTGTGGGTTTTGTTGTTGTTGTTGTTGTTGTTGTTGTTGCTATTGTTTTTAACTAGGATAAGATGGAAAAAATACCAAATCAGGGGCTGGGGTTGTGACTTAGTAGTAGAGCGCTTGCCTAGCACATTTGAGGCCCTGGATTCGATCCTCAGTGCCACATAAAAATAAATAAATAAAATAAAGGTATTGTGTCCAACTACAACTAAAAAATAAATATTAAAAAAAAAAAATTGGAACCAGATGACCTAGCTTTGTAACTACCTGTTAATGTGACATGTGGCAAGGCATTTAACCTTTCTGTATCTCATTTGTCTCAAATATAAAATGAAAATATTAACAGAATCCCTGTGATACTTTCTACCTTTATATTTTATGATTGGGGGAGTATTTATTATTAGAACCTTAATTTTATAGAAATTAAATCAAATTCTTTATTTTTAGCTGATCAGTGTCACTTTTTCTTTTCTTTTTTTTTTTTTTTTTTTTTTTTTAGTTGTAGGTGGATCTAGTACCTTTATTTTATTTTTATGTGGTGCTGAGGATCGAACTCAGTGCCTCATGCATGCCAGGCGGGTGCTGTACCACTAAGCCACAGTCCCAGTCCCCAGTGTCACTTTTTCTTTGTTGCTCTATTCTTTTAAAAGACYATTGTCCTCAAATGATGTTCTTTACCAATTTGTTTAAAATTCATAGATAGGAGAACCTAATTTCAAGTCGTGTTTGTTGAAATAGAGGTAGAAATTAAAACCCCATTTGCCACCTGTAGACAGATCTGGGATATTCGTAATGCTATGGCCATACTGCCTATAAAATCTCTTGAGTTTGAGTAAGATTGGTAAAACTCAACATATTTTTACATTATTTTGTTTCATCTCATCGCCAGTATGATTTTGGTTTCTAACTTGAAAATTTACTCCCAAACATTCCAAACTAAAAATAAGAATATTTGTAGTAAATAACAGCCACTGCTATTAATTCTCACTTTGCCTTTGTGATGTGGTCTATCAAGTGGATAAAATCTAGGTAGAGTGAGTCTACTTTTTAAGACAAAATAGAGGTAATGTAATTAAGGAGAAAAAGAGGCTTGAGGACAAGTCTCAAGTAATAGTGAAAAAGCTATGGATCAGATTAAAGTGCTCTGAACTAAAGGAAGTTGTGATTTCTGATAATGGATTTGGGTTAATATAAGAAGAAAAAGCTCATGACTTTAGAAATTTCAATTATAAGAGAGGTTATTCATTTAAATCTTAAGCTCTTCTGTTTGTAAGGTTATCAGTCCAAATGCAAGTTATCTCAAATACTATAAGTTTATTTTAAGAATATAAGAGTCTAAGAACCAATCCAAATCCATCAGATCTTAACAAGAGGAACTAGAGAAAGGTTCTAGAAATTATGCTGTTGTAGGGAATTCAGTGGCACCAGTTTGTGGTCTCTTTCCCCTTGTCCTGTCACATCTCTCTCACAACTGTCCTTAAACATTGTTTTCTTTTTTTGTCTTTCATTTTAACATGACCATCGTTGGCCCACACATAGTTCAGTTACCTTTCAGCTTTAGCTCCTGCTGCCATTGCTTCATTATCTAGAATTTGGTTTCCTGAGTGAGAAAGAACCTGATGGGCATAGTTAGTTTTGGTACAGGTCCCATTGTAGATTGTTAGACAATTCTGGATTGCTAGTCCACGGGCCAGATTCTAGCTTCTGGCCCAGTTAGCTATGTGCTAGGACAGATGAAGGAGGCACCAAAAAATGGGATCATATGGATTTCCTTTTCACAGTTTAAAAACAAGGACTGATTTCTATGAAGAAAGAAGTCATAGGCCAGTTTTTGCCCAGTGGAGAGGCCTCACTTGAAAATCATCAGCCAAATGCTTATAAGAAAAATGTTCACTTATTGCCAAATCTGTTTGACATGCCCATAACTAGAAGTGGTTTAACAGATAAGGAAATATGTAAAATACATCTCCTCAGATTATTCAGTGACCTCTGACTACTAGATTTTTGGCCTTTTGTTTGTTGGATTTTGTTTCTGTCTTGTTGCACCAAAATAAGGAAGAAGCAAATTTTACCCTGTCCTATAAAACCTGTGTGTGTGTGTGTGTGTGTGTGTGTGTGTGTTTTAAAGGAGGGTGTTATTTTGGGGTGACATTATCTTTTTCTAGTTTTATCTTTACTCCTATTTATATTGTTCTATCTCCTTCATATATTTAAATATGGTGTGGGCTTTCTTTCCTAAAATCACGTCACAAATATCAAGAATGTAGCACAATTATATTGCCTAGGGAAAAAAAAATGTTTTTTATCATCTTTGCCACCATTTCCCTGGCAATACCAACAACATTAAAATATGGCAGCAGCTTCATTGCCTCCATATCTATGTACAATTTAAAATACCATTTTTGCTCTGATTCTGATAATTTGTTGATTTCAATGTAGGATGAAGTACAGGGAATCCTTCTACCATAAGTATGATTATACAGCCACTCCTGTTACTTTGGGCTTTGCCTTTGCAATGTGGTTGACCCGATGGTTGATAAAAGTCTATCTAGAGTAAGAATGTAAGACAAAGTAAAAATAATATAAATATAATTAAGCGGAAAGAGAGGCTAGAGGACAAGGCTCAATATCCTCCAATTTTTATTTAAAATGGATTCAGCTTCTTGTTACATGGCTTAAACAATGTCAGAGTAACAGGTTAGGACTGGGGTTGTGGCTCAGCTTGCCTCACATGCCTGGGGCACTGGGTTCCATCCTCAGCACCATAAATAAAATAAAAGTATTGTGTCCATTTACAACTAAAAATGTTTTTTAAAAGTTAAAAATAATAACAAGTTAAAAATAATAACAACTTAGACAAGATAGTTTGTTTCTCTTTTATATAAAAATTTGAATGACTATTTTGACTATTTAACAACCCCGAGGTTCCTGTTCCAGTTTATGCATTCTTAACATATTGCATGGTATAAGACAGCTCACCACCATATCCACATAGTGTCAGTTACAAAAGAAAAGAAAAGGAAAGAAAAAAAAAGAAGGAAGGAAAAAGAAAAGAAAAAGAGAAAAGAGCAAGCTTTGTTCTTTTAGAGCACAATCTGGAAAATGTATCCTTCTCTACTCACCTTAAATTGGCTACAGTATAGTTATATAATCAGGCCTAGCAACAAGGGAGACTGAAATTGTAATGTTAAATCTGAACAGCCAGGTGTCCATGTAAAAATTATGTTACTAGGGAAGAGAGACAGTTTTAAGACTTACACACCGAAGTACTACTATTTTATCTTTATGTTTGTATTTGTTAGATACTGAGGTTTTTATAAAACACATGATTTGCAGTATCATTTATATTTCATTATCTTAGTAAGAAAAATAGAATTTTCTGTATTATTTCCACTATTACAGATATGAAAAATTTGATTAGGGCTTAGAGGGTCATGGAACCATATTTAGAGTTTAAATATTCTCACGTAATTTTCATTATGGTGGGCTTGATAACTGTCTCACATATTTCACCAGACTGCTATGAAGCAAAAATGAGATCATGCACACAGAATCCCATTGACCTACTAGAAATTAGAAAATATACATGAAGTGGTATATATTTTACATGCATTTGTTAATTTCACTTTCTTTTTCTTAGACACTGTTGGAAGCTCTGACTGTGGCAGTTGTGGGTAAGTCATAATTGTGCTTCTTTTTGTTATAGTAACCTTTTATAATGTGGATAAATCTTTCAGGTAAAAAAAAAACTTGGGGTTAAAGTTTAATAGCATRGAATGTTGTATTTTAAAAATATGGCATAAGATAAAGATTGCCTAAGATATAAGCAAAAATCAAATGTTTATACTTTACATAGTTCAGCAGAGCTTAGAGGAAGTGGAAAAGTTTAAGGAAAACTAAAGGAATGGAGAACAATATTTCATTTCCATTTACATATTTATAAAAAAAATAAGACAACCATGGCTGATCTTTTCCCTAATTTAAAGGAAATTCAGAAGAATTGAGAACATTTATTTTGAGCTGTGTGCTTTTCATCACGAGTTTAGCTTCCTAAGAATCGCCTGCATTGAACCACATCTACTGCTGTACCTTCATGTTTTATTCACTAAGTGATACTACAAGAAACAGCAATAATTTCTGTTTCTACATTTTGTATTAAGTGAATTCAGAGGCCAAATGTCAAATTACATTACACAAATGTACTCTGTGTAATACTTCAAGTAAAATATTTCAGTGAGTTAATAACAATTCTGATTATTTTAAAATGGTTAGTCTTGGGTACCAAAAAAGTTCAGCATTAACTATTACTCTCAATAATGGCAAATTGTTAATCTTTATGGTTTATATATTTCTCTCTTCCTATTTTGACATTACTATTTTTAAATATCATTTTTGTTGAATTTATATTTTTGGTTTACCATTTAAAAAAGAATTAGAATATTAAAATGCTAAGAAATACCAAAATAAGTAGAATTGAAGCTTCTCAACATAAAGGAAATATTAAAATAACTTACTTTTAGTGTTGTAATCTATTAATGTTACGCAATGTTAGCTAGTCCATCTCTGAGTAAGGAGTCTTTTTTATTGGTGAGTAGTATAGGAGAAATGAAACATTTCTGTTAAATAACATGAAATGTTATTTTAAATATAACTGTTTTATATTGAGGATGTTTATGTACATTTTAATCAATTTCTTAATTTTACAGTTACTTTCTACGATGTATATATAATTCTGCAAGCTTTTGTACTGACTACTACAGTATTTCTCGGTTTAACCATATATACTCTACAATCTAAGAGAGATTTCAGCAAATTTGGAGCAGGGTAAGTTATATATTTTGGGATATAATAGATAGATGTCTTTAATATTATAGGTGGTTTTGAGAGAGTGTTATACTGTTAGTTTTCCGTGCCTTAAAATGTAAGTAAATAAAATACTAGGATTAGGCCCTTCTTTCCCAGAGCATTCAAGGAAATGGAAAGTGGCTTTGAGTCATATTCTTCCCTTTTATAGTGAAAGGAAGTGAATTTAAAAAAAAAATACGTAAATTGGTTTTCCAGAGAAGCTATACTTATGTGTTGTATGAATAGTGTGGAATTTACTAAAATTATGTCAGTCTTTGTTTTGGCATAAATGTTACCAAAACCATCCACATCTTTGGCAAAGGCAGAACAGTTGTCTCCAAGAACTTTAAAACCTTTTTGATCTGTCTAGATTAACTTGTATCTTTCCTGAAACAAATAAATATATGTAATGATTCTTTATATTAGAATAATAGTAGTGTGTTGCCCTCATCTGGTAAGAAGTATAGACACTTCTCAGCTCACAGTGGCCTGTTCCCACACAGTCACTCAACCATTTTCTGTTCTTTCTCCTATTAACAATACTAAATATTTACAAAAGTCTACTCTTGTAAAACTTTCTTTCCTCTTCCCTTTTGTTTCCTGGTAGACCAGGTTATCAGAAATCCCTGTTGGGATAAAGTATAGTCATGCAATTTGCCGAAGTAGTTTTATTAGAATCAAGTTTGGTTTAGGGAGAGACAGTATTTTCTCTTGCTTCTTTTGGGAAAATGTTTCATTTATATTTTGTGGTATACATAAAGAAAGCTTTGCTCTGTGTTCTCTTTCCATCCCCGTCTCCCAACTGCACCTCTCCCTCCAATTCATTCTAGTATCTCTCCTGAATTCCTAGTAAACAATTTCCCTTGTATTTCAGCTTTTTCATAATAAATCCATATTTATTGATACAACCGATGTTAAAATTATCATGTGTCAGTCTAAGACCAAACACTTATGAAGTCTGTGTACAGCTGGCTGTTATTTCTGATCATTTTTATATTTTATTTTCTTGTGTGTTAGGTTTTAACTAGGTAATTGTCCTTAAAAAATTATGTTGAGGGCTGGGGATATGGGTGAGTGGTAGAGTACTTGCATAACATGTGGGAAGCACTGGGTTTGATTCTCAGCACCACATATAAATAAATGAATAAAATAAAGGTTCATCAACATCTAAAAAAATATATTTAAAAAAATTTATGTTGAATTTCTTTAAGCCCTACACTGCTGGTGCATTTTTCCATAATATTTTGGGTTTTCTGCTACCTGGCATCTAGAAAATTACTAGATTGAGTCCACTTAAAACTAAATTCATGGTTCACAATATTTTCCCAACCATTCAGGTGTTGTGAATTTGAACTACAAATCTGTAAAGGGATAGCTTGGATATCAATTACTTAGGAATGATCCCTGTGCCTTTTCCTTGCTTTATGCATTGATAACTTTCCTTATAGTCTCTCGGTGGGGATGGGGAGGTGATTGATACATGGTTGCCCTGACATTAAGGTTATTCACTTTAGGTAAATCCAGCTGTGGTACCATGATTACTTCTTTGGATTTCTACTTTTATCTAGATTGTGGCTTGATAATTCCCTTCCATTTTGTCAGTTATTTGATACTTGTAAGAAGTTTTTCTTTTTTTTTGTTTCTTTTTAATTCATCACTTCGGTAGTTTTTGAGGAGATGGAGGATGGTGTCATAATTGGTCTAAATAGCCTTGTTTGCTACAATACTGGGAAAAGAACCCTTTCAAAGTTGTTTCTTACCAGTGTTACTGTAACATCCTTTCTATCTCCAGTCTTACCAATTTCTAGTCTATTTTCCACAAAGTAACTAGGTGATAATTCCAAAATGCAAGTTCAATAATGTCATATTTAAAACACGTGAACACTTTACTACGGCTTGAGGATAGCCTGATTCTCTATGATGTGCTTTTATTGCCATACACTATGGGATATTGCTATGTAATAATTATCTAGAAAAATCATAATATTGACCATAGTTTTGGAGTGGCATTTTATTGCGTTTTAGACAAAATTTAATGGCACTAATTTTTCCGAAGTGTCAAAATCAAAATGGTTGTGGAGGGGGCGCTGCAGTTGTGGCTCACTGGTGGAGTGCTTTCCTGGTGTAGATCAGGCACTAGTTTTAATCCTCAGCACCACATAAAAATAAATAAAGAAAAAATAAAGGTATGTTGTCCATCTACAACTAAGAAATATTTTTATTTTGTTATTTATTTTTGGTACCATGGATTTAACTCAGAGGCACGTGACCACTGAGCCACATCCCCAGCCCTATTTTGTATTTTATTTAGAGACAGCCTCTTTTGCTGAGGCTGGCTTTGAACTCAGGATACTCCTGCCTCAGCCTCCTGAGCTGCTGGTATTACAGGCGTGTACCACTGCACCCAGCTAAGAAATATATATATATAAATTTTTTTTAGTTGTAGTTGGACACAATACCTTATATTTATTTTTATGTGGTGCTGAGGATCGAACCCAGCGTCTCGCATGTGCTTGGCGAGCGCTCTACTGCTAAGCCACCACCCAGCCCAAGAAATACATTTTTAAAAAACTTAAAAAAATGGTTGTGGAGGCTAAGTGCCAAAAGGGGATACAAAGATTGAGCAAAAAGATTTTATTCAAAAAGGTGTATAGGCTATTCATCCCTACCTGTTTATGGGAGTTAGTAGGGACTAAAGAAGTATATTTGAAATGTGTGAATATATGGTAGCAGCAGATAATGGTAGCAGTGCTTTATATATTGACTTAGAACTATAATGGGTTTTGCAACATCATTTTTATTTATTTATCGTCACTTATTATCCTGTAGAATCTTGTCACAAAAGGAATTGAATCTTAGAACTACATGTGGCAACTTTTTTGTATCACCTTAAATATTTTGTCTTGCTGGATGTAGAACAAAGTTAAATTCCTTGGAAATTGTCTGAATCTCCTGAGACTCTGTTAGGCAGAAAACAGCTTTTAGTTTTAGAAATAATTTGGCCCATTTCCAACATAGTACCTTTCTAAGGACTACTCAATCCCCTATGATTTAGGAGATCTTTGTACCCTGCTTGGTATGAATACAAACTATCCTACCCCTATGTGAGCTCGAGGGATTGTTCTTCCTGCCTCTCTGTGGTGCATTTTTCCACAGCTTTGGTCCAGTCTTCACATGCATGTATTGATCAGTATCCAGCTAAAGATTCTAGTGGAACCCTACAATACATACCCCCAGAGATTACTTTTTCTTTCGGTACAGCTCTTTAGTCACTGTTTTTTTTGTTTTTTTGGTTTTTTTTTTTTTTTTGCATATTCTAGCCACCTTGACCACCCAAACCTCTAATTTCTTGTCTCTTCAACTCGAGAAGACTGAAAGGTTCCATAGGGTTCTTGACCTGACATTGTGACCTAAAATTTTTCTAGCTGGGACAATTATAAATTTCTGTTTCCCTAATTTTTATTCCTATGGAATGATTGTCCTGTGCTGGTTGTTGTTCATTGTGTGAAATCTCTTGTTTCATATATTTTTGCTGGTTTTATTTAAGGAGGGAGGCTTGTGTAATTTCTTATGTTTGAAGCAACATATTTGATACCAAAAGACAGACTTCTTAGATGTTCTTTGTCACATATTTTATGTTTATAATGTGAATGGTAACTCATAAAGTTATAGAAGTGTCAGATTTGTCTGCATAAATTATGTTCCCTAATACATAAAAATAAAATAAAAAGTACATTGTGAACTTTAATATGTATGCATGTTCACAGAATAACTTGCTATTATTATTTGGTTTTAAAATGCAATTATCTTTATTATTATTTATGTATATGAATAAACTAGAACTTTTTATAAATCTCAGTGAAAATACTTCTAATGGTTCCTGCCTATGTCAATATTTTCCTTGTGCTAAAATTGAAAACTTGAGAAATAATACTCTTAACTAGTTTTGTATACCAAAAAATTGTTGGATAGTTATACTTTCAATAACATTTTTTAAAAAATAAAATGGGTATTGTTTTCATTTGTTATTTATGAATTCCTGTGCTTTAATTTCTTTTCACAAATCTGTATGAATTTCAGAAAATGTGGAATGGAGCCAGGCATCATGGCACATACCTGTAATCCCAGCTGCTTGGGAGGGTGAGACAGGAGGAGCTAGAGTTCAAAACCAGCCTCAGTAACTTAACAAGGCCCTAAGCAACTTAGCAAGACCCTGTCTCAAAATAAAATATAATAAATAAAATATAACGTAAAAATAAAATATAACAAACGGCGAGGGATGTGGCTCCGTGGTTGAGCACTCCAGGTTCAATCCCTGGTACCAAAAATAAATAAAGAAAAAATGGGTTTACAGTTTTGGGTTTTTTTTCAAGGAACTCTAAATTATTAAAACTTTCTTTTTATAGGCTTTTTGCTGTTTTGTGGATTTTATGCTTGGCAGGATTCTTGAAGGTGAGTTGTTTTTAGAATAGTTAACCTGAAACATAATTCCAGCAATGACAATAGAAATAACCTCAAAAAATTGGAGGAGTTACTCTTAGATGACACTTAGTTGTAATTATCTGGAACATTTGTATATAGAATGATTATGGAATAATCTCATTTAATAATCAAGGCCTTATGTTATATTATGAATGGGTAAATGAGTTAAATTACATAGAAAAAGGCTCTCACTTAATAACTGACAACCTCCAAGTAGCACATTTAATTCTGAAAAAGAAATACATATTAAAATAACTTGTATTTAGAATGCTGCTATTCATAGTAGGTAATTTAATTGAAAGGAAGAATGAACAGATATTCATTCATACATTCATCTTTCCATCATACAGAAGCAAGCTCAACTTGCCTTTCCTCTTTCTCTTTTAACATTTGTATTTGAAATTGTGTAACATAATATGTATTGACAATAGATCATTAGGAGAAATAACTAAAGTACTGTTACTACCATTCTCAAATATGTTTCTTTAATCTCTTGCCTATAGATTTTTTTTTATAGTGAGACAGTGGAATTGGTCTTGGCTGCTGTAGGAGCCCTTCTTTTCTGTGGATTCATCATCTATGACACACACACACTGATGCATAAACTGTCACCTGAAGAGTATGTATTAGCTGCGATCAGCCTCTACATGGATATTATTAATCTATTCCTGCACCTGTTACGGTTTTTGGAAGCAGTTAATAAAAAGTAATTGAAAGCTGTATACAGAACTGTTTATTAAGTAATAAAGATTGAGACATAATTAAATATCAAATACTTTTATGGTCTTTATTGATATTCTGTATACTTCTGAGCTTTAAAATCGTACCATTTTTTATGGTTTATCATTCTTAATACTTTGATTTAGAATCTCAGGTAAGAGGTATCAAAATTGTCTTTTTTACTTTTTTCAGTCCTAAGTTAACTATGCCTCCCTATTTGTTTATAATTCAAAATAATTTTATGAGCATTTAAAATATCAGTTTCTTTATTTATTGATTTAATCTAAATTTTCTCTTAACTAATATTTATTTCTAAAGTGCTAGTGTCTTTACCATTATAAACACTAGTATTAATTAATGTGTAAATCTTTTACTATGAGATTTTAATCTCATTTAGTAAGGAAAATAATGGAAAAGATAAATTCCAAAGATAATTACTCAGTATTATATTGAAATTATATTAAAATGTTAATGATGTCTCATTATAAAATGATGTATTAAAAATTAAAGGTTTACTTAAAAGCCGATATAAAATTTTGATAGTAGTTATTTATCTCTGTAAATAAAGGTTTCATTTTAAAATTATAGAATGGTCGTGTGACTAAAGGACCCCCAAAGATACTGGTTCATCTGACATTATGTATTCAAAATAAAAATATTTGAAAACTAGTGTCTTGTGGTTCCTTTGTGTTGGTCCATACAGCATGTAGATGAGTGTACCAGTGATCAATAGAACTTTGGCAGATTCCCTTACTATATGGTATTCCTTCATTATTTGCAGTTTCATGTTCTGTGGTTTCATTTACCTGTAGGCAATTGTGGTCTAAAAATGTTAAATGGAAAATTCTGGAAATAATTTATAAATTTTAAGTTGCATGCCCTTTTTAAAAATTTTTTTAGTTATAGATGGACATAATATCCATCTGTATTTTATTTATCCATTTTTATGTAGTGCTGAGGATTGAACCCAGGGCTTCACGTATACTAGGCAAGTGCTCCACCACTGAGCTACAACCTTATCCCCAGTCATATCCCCTTCTGAGTAGCATGATGAAGTCTCATGCTATCCTTCTCCATCCTGGTTGGGACATGATCTTCCCTTTGTCCAGCATATCCACACTGCATACATTACCCATTTTTTCATGGCTCAGTGATCCAGGATCTTCTTTCTAACACATTGTCAGAAGACCAATGGTAGCTTACCTCTACACAGCCCAGTGCTGCTGCATCATCTCACTTCATCTCATCACATAGTCATTGTATTGTCTCACATCACAAAAAGAATGGTGAAAACAGAACAATAAGATATTTTGAAAGAGACTGTACACATGACTTTTACTATACAGTACATTGTTCCAATTTTTCTATTTTATTATTGTTGATCTCTTATTGTGCCTAATTTATAAATTCAAGTTTATCAGAAGTATGCATGTATAGGATAAAACATAGTATGCATAGGGTTTGGTACTGTATGTTTTAGGTATCCATCAGGAAATCTTGGAATATATCCCCTAACAAATAAGAGGAGAATACTTTATTAAATAAAGTTTGCTAGGGCAGCCATAGCAAAGTACTATAGAAAGAGTGGCTTAAACAGTAGACATGTGTTTTCTCCATAGTTCTGTGGGCTAGAAAGTCCAAGATGAGGTTGTAGATAGGGTTGGTTTCTTCTGAGACCTCTCTTCTTGTAGATGGCTGTCTTCATAATGTCTCTACCTTGTTTTCCCTCTGTTTGTCTATGTCCAAATTTCTTCCTCTTATAAGGACATCAGTCATTGAATTAAGGTCCATCCTAATGACCATTTTTCCTTAGTTAACTCTTTAAAGACCTATCTCCAAATACATTCATATGCTGAGCTACTGAGAGTTAGGACTTCATAATATGAATTTTTAGGGACACAGTCCATAACACTAAGTACATCATTTCATACGTACTAAGTTGAATTCAGTTAGTTATATAGATTTAGTCTCCAATGACTTTTAGATGTTAATTGACTATCATCAATTGATTGGTTTTTTACAATCAAGTTTAGCATAACAGGTATAAACATCTAGATTGGAATCCTTATTATATGTGGCCAGTTACATGTTTGGAAAAGTTACTTCCCTTCCTTATATAGGTCTTGCCTCATTTTTATAATGGGAATAATCATAACAACTCCTGCCTAATTGGGCTTTCAGAAGGATAAAATGAGATAAATACATAAACTAAATGATTRATTAATGTAAGCTGCTGTTATTAGTATCATTTCAATCCAAATGCAGAATAGACTGAATTGTGACTAAAGACAATAAGCAAAGGCAGATTTGACATTTTAAAATGTAAAACAATGCCATTCTTTTTTCTAAATTATTTTTTATTTAGGAAATAGTTATTTAAATAAAAATGCCACCTAATGAATTTATCCCTTTGAAATGACTTAAATTTTCAAAAAATTATTTTAATTTCTGATATATACCATAATTATTAAGTCTAAAGGGATCACACTAAAAGTTTTGAAAACCACTGGTATAAAATATTACATGAACCAAAATCATATATTTTTCTATTAATGAATTTTATATGGTTGCTCCTTTCTGTCACCATCAATGCTACTCTGTACATCTTTGTGTGTCCTACTGTGCATAGGCATGACAATTTTCTAGGTACAATGACATATGCAACTTTCAGTTTTTTACCAGAGGTGAAAATGTGCAGATTTAAGAAATACTAAGAAAGTGGCATTAGCAGGTTGACAGAGCAACTGGCAACTCAGTGTACAAGGGACAAAAGAACAACAAGTAGGAAGAGAATGAGAGAAGAGCAGGAAGTGAGAACTTCTGTGTTTATTGAATATCATTCAGCTTAAGAGATGCTGTGGGTCCCATGTACCTGCCTTCACTTCTTTACAGGCCTCAGACCTAGCTTCAATTCACTTCATGTAGTTCTGGCAATGAGTGATAACAGCAGGCATTTTTGGAGGAGCTGGGAACAGATTTTTTTTGTTTTGTTTTTACTTAGTATCTTTGTAGAGTTTAGTCCTAAAGTATCCATGATCTAGGGAATTGGCAATATGAAGTCACCATCTGAATTCCAGAAATATTGTTTCTTACTAAATCATTATGCAGATCATGGACTCCRCTCACTGGATGAAGCCAGTAGTTTAGCATGCCTTTTGGATGGAGAATAGGTTGGTTTTCAGCCAGGTATTCAACACTACCCACTGTACCTTTAGTTCCATAAGCTCCTTCCAGCTCTCTTGAGTTATAGCCATATCCAGATTGATCCTTAATCCTTATTCTTCCACCAGGGGTTAAAGTGTCCCAAACACAGTTGTTTGTTTTCCTTCACCTTTGTATATTTAGAAAAGTGCCTACTGCAGAGTTTATACTTGAATGTATGAATGAGAGTGGCTTATGAGTTTTTAAATATGCTAAGGCCAGAGGGCTGGGGATGTGGCTCAAGCGGTAGCGCGCTTGCCTGACATGCGTGTGGCCCGGGTTCGATCCTCAGCACCACATACCAACAAAGATGTGTTTGCCAAGAACTAAAAAATAAATATTAAAAATTCTCTCTCTCTCTCTCTCTCTCTCTCTACTCTCTCTTTAAAAAAAATAAAATAAAAATATGCTAAGGCCATTTATTGTTAGAAATTCATTTGTACAAACTGGACATGAGTTAAAACTTTTTTTCCCTATATCATAGTCCATGATTGTTTTATAAAGTATTTGTAATGCTGAATTGTGACATGTATTTTAGTACAATAATTTTCATAATAGGTTATTGTTTCTTTTGCAAAATTTCTATTCAAAACTCTTTGCCAGGAATGTTAAGCAATATGCAGTCATTTTTGACTATGTGAAAGGGAATTTACTCTAGTTTAAAATGCAATATGCAGATATATTTCTGGGGAAATGAGGCTAAATTCTAATTTGAAAAATCAGGTATACAGTTAACATAAGATAGACACAATCTTCCATTTAAAGAAACTAGGTTTTCTTTTTTTTTTTTTTAAGCCTAGGATTTTTTCAGCCCAATGTTTAAAAAAAGAGGAAAAAAAAAACTTGTTCTAAGAAATCCAGACTCTCAATACCATATTATTCTCAAATGTTCTAACCAAAAATACAACACCCACCTGTGTGGTTCTAATGCTTATACCATAAGAAGTGTAAGTTAGAGACAGTGTAGTGGCACACACCTGTAATCCCATTGACTTGGGATGCTGAAGCAGGAGAATTGAGAATTCAAAGCCAGTCTCAGCAATTTAGCAAGGTGCTAAGCAACTCAGTGAGACCCTGTCTCCAAATAAAATACAAAAAAGGGCTGGGGATGTGACTCAGTGGTTAAGTGCCCCTGAGTTCATTCCCTGGTAGTACTGAAAGGGAAAAAAAAGTATACGTTAAATAACAGTGTTGTTCCTGAGCTCAATGTCCTAGGCGTAGCACTTCCTCGTATGTAAGCATTCAGACAGGTAAACATCACTTGAAGTGAAACAAATTTTATACTTTAAATTCTCCTTTGGAATAGTATTACTTTCTGATTTGGGTGACAGTTTTGAGACATAACTGACAAAATAAGTTGCAAGTGTACAATTTAAAGTGTACAATTTGCTAAGTTTTGGCATATGTGTACTTCCTTTCTCTACAGAAATGTCTTAACTGGGCTTCTCCAGAAATCTTCAACATGGCTGATTTGGGGACTGTCAGCAAAAGAGTTCAATGTAGATAAACTTCCTATTTTCCTGTCGCTCTGTTTTACTTGGCCACTGGCAGGGAAGATACCAGCACTCCACTGCTGGACACCCCCTTACTAGTTTTTCACAAACGTATCAAGTACAGTAGTTTGTAGAAATGTGCAAACAAGGCCTCTGGCCTTGAGCTGGGCTTCACAGAGATGTCTSCATTTTTAAGGTAAGAGAAGTTACCAATTGGGCTCCATGGTAACAGCTGGCAGGAGGAGGAATAAAAAGGGAGAAGAAGCTCTCCCCTTCTCAAGTGTTGTCCTTGAAGGGTTAACTTGCCCAGAACAATGAAAGAAAAAAAACTGCTTTTATGTGAACGTCTGAAGACTGTGAACTTCTGAGTCCCTCCCCTTRTATACAGGGTATAAAATTCTGGAACTATTGACCTCAGGGTACAGGGGAGTGATTGATTACAGCAAAAGCTGTGCCCTCTGAACCTGGCTGCAGTCAAATAAAACTGTCTCCTGCTATCTTCAGTGCCTTGCCTCATCTGTCCCTACAACAAGATCATWAACCAAGATGGGAGTGAGTTTCCAGGCTGCAAATAAGGATTACCTCAATACATCTCTTAAAGAACCCATTATCTAAGATGATTGGCTTTAAGCAACCTCTAGAGTAGCTGGTGCCAGTGAGGTCAGCTTTTAAAGGTGGGCTTTGCTCTACCTGGGTGCACAGTTCCCAGGCGGGATTCACTCCCTGTGATAAGTGTCGGGTGCTAATGCGCCCACTTCCCAGAAGCAGGTAAACACACGTCCAGACAGCCGACTGGAACTGGAGCGCAGTTTAGAATTGGCTAAATCCTACTTCTGTACAGGTATGGGACCAACAAGGGTTCAAAGTCTGCGAAACACCTAAAGCAGAAAGCTCGTCAGCGCCTGCCCCGCCTCTGAAGCTTTAGCGGCCGTACTGACTCCCGGCACGCACTGCGCTCACCGGCCGGAAGCCGGAAGTTGGGGGCTTCCAGTCGGTGGCAGCGTGCTGCTTGCAAAACGTGATCTTGTGAGTTTGTTGTTTGCGTCTTCCCTCCGGGGTACAGTGGGGTGTGAGACCTGGGGCTCGATTTGCTCCCTGTGGAAAATTTCGTGCCAAGCTTTGACCCTCTTGCGCCATGTTTGATCTCTTCGGTGTAAAAAGCCAGGACTCGGTCAAGGACAAGAGTCYCTGGCTCCTGATGGCGGCCCTTTGACTTGCTCATTTTCTGTGTAAGATAAAGTCTTTTCTTGTCCATCAGTCGTGCTAAGGTTAACTTTGACCCTCAAAGAGTATTCCGCAATGCTGTATGCTGTCCCCCTGCCGGGCTTGGGTCCTTGTAGACAAGGTGGCCAAGTAGGTTTGTGATGGCTGGCATTCGTATTTTGGTATTCAGCTAGTCACCCTTCATCCTTTACTGTGCGCAAACCGCTGTGGACTGAGGAATTCAACGGTGAATACAATCTGTAACTTCTACTTTCCTGGTACCCACATTCCTTTGGAGGGCAGTTTGTCAAAGTCATTTCCTAATTAGTAAACTTAAGATGGTGATGCTCTTTGCATTTKGGGGGAAATTATTTTGTAGGGAAACCAAGGAGGTTTCAGAATTGGCTTTATTTACAGTTTGCCTTTGACCACTGGGAGTTTGATTTAACGTTCTTAATTGTTATTTAGTGACAATAGGAGCCATATTGACCCTCACATAAGTTGCACATTAAGCTGTCATAAATCTTGAAGAGTGAAGAGCTTATCTTCTATTTTTTCCTGTTTTGTAGAGAAATACGTGGTGTCTTGATTTCCCAGGGATATGCCTTTTTTTAGTAGTAAACAATTTGCTTTTGAATATATATTTTTGTTAACTGCCAGGTAAAAGATGGCTAAAAGCTTACGGAGTAAGTGGAAAAGGAAGATGCGGGCTGAAAAGAGGAAAAAGAATGCTCCGAAAGAGCTCAACAGACTTAAAAATATTCTCAAAGTTGGCAGTGATGTTTTAATGAAAGATGTTGAAGAAATAGCAACTGTGGTGGTACCTAAACATTGCCAAGAGAAAACGCAGAGTGTGGTGAATGATGAAAAAGGTGAGTTTATGTGCTTTATTTAAAAAAAATTATATTAGTTTCTTTTTGTGGGTTTTTTTTTTTTTTGTAACTGCTCTCTGCCTACCTTCAAATCTGCTCACGTTTRTTATTGAAGGCTACATTGCTATAAGAAATTCTGTGCTAAACTTTTAAAACCAGTTCATGTGGATAGGCATGTTGTGGATTATTCAAGATGGATCTTGTGTAATTAAACAATAATCTGCTTGAGGAGTAGATGATACTACAGGAGGCAAACCTACACTTGTTGGAAGGGTGCACAATTCAGTCAGAGTCCCCACAGAATAGAAAGAGGTCTTCTTTGCAAGCTTAACATACTGTGAGTCTTATGTACTTATCAGTTATCCTGAAAAATCACAGTTTCAGTGGATTTTATTTWCACAAATTCCAGGGACCTCTGTGTCTTAACCATAGTCTTAAGGTAGAGACTGTATAAGGTGCTAGTTTCAGCAGAGCAAAAAGTTTGTTGGATCTCACATCCTAATGCACCAATTTGGCAGCAAGTTGAATTAAGCACTCTCAGCATCCATACTCTAATTTTTTTTAAAAAGAGAGAGAGAGAATTTTTAATATTTATTTTTTAGTTTTCAGCGGACACARCATCTTTATTTGTATGTGGTGCAGCGCGCATGCCAGGCGAGTGCGCTACCGCTTGAGCCACATCCTCAGCCCAGCATCCATACTCTTGAAATAATGTTTATGTGGTATATATGGTCTGGGAAGAGAGCAGTATTCTTCAACCTTACAATCCTAAAAGTTTCCTTTCCCATTCTTAAAAATGACCATTTTAAAATTTTCTCTTTCTTCTCAATCCCTCTCCCTACAGTATACTATTCAGTTGCACTTAGTACATTTACAGTTTTATGTAACCATCATCTCTAGTTCCAAAACATTTTCACCATCTAAAAAGAAACCCTGTACCTATTAAAGAGCCTTGAACCCTCTGCCTCCAACAATGTGCTTTGTGTCTTTATGTACTTACTTGTTTTGAGTATGAAATGGAWTCATACAATATGCAGTCTTTTGTGCCTTTCCTTTCTTACTTAGCATAATATTTTTGAGTTTCACCCATGTTGTAGCATATATCAATACTTCCCTTTTAAGTTAATAGTCTGCTTTATATACTGTATTTCATTTATCCATTCATTGGTTGAACAGCATTTGGGTTGCTTCTACCTTCTCACTATTATAAATAGTGCTCTTGTGAACATTTGTGTATAAGTTTTTTTTTTTTTTTTTTTTTTTAATGCCTGCTTTTGTTTTTGGGGGGAAATATACTTTTAAATGGCAGTGCTGGATCATATCATTCTTTGTTTATTCTTTTCCACCTCAGCCACACTATTTTACTTTTGCACCAACAATGTACAGGGTTAGTGTCCTACAATTTTGATTTGTATTTCCCTAATGACTAATAAAGCCAAAGATTTTAAAATCTGTATGCCAGATTCCCATGCACTCCTGAGTCTTGAATTGATCCTTTAATTTTCTTTTCTCTCCTGTTTCTCTTTTCTCTCCTCTCTTTTCTTTCGTTATATTCTGTAATTTCCTCAACTTTATTTTCTAGTTCTTGTGTTATTTAATGTTACTAATTTTCTTTTTAATATTTATTTTTATTTTTTTTTTAAGTTTTCGATGGATACAACATTTTTGTTTTGTATGTGGTGCTGAGGATCAAACCCGGGCCGCACGCATGCCAGGCAAGCGCGCTACCGCCTGAGCCACATCCCCAGCCCCTCTTCTTTTTTCTCATCATCCTCAAAGAGGCATTCTCTCATCCATCTCCTGCCTAGGGAATGTCTAGAGAATGCCCTCATTCTTAGAGTATTTCAGGAGCTAAATGGGGACAGGACTGAGAGTGAGGAGAGTCCTACTTAGTAATCAAGATGGTTCTTTATCGCTGCCCTTAAAGTTCACGTTCCTTATTTCTATTTTTTCAGCTGCCTACCCAGTTTCTTAAGCCACAAAACTACTAGTCATCCTTTCTTTTTTCCTCTATATCTAAACTATTAACAAATCTTATTTATTATTTAAAAATTTCAGCAGAATCTGTTTTTTTCCTGCATTCATCTTAATTCAAATGACTATTGTTATGGTTTGAATGTGAGGTGTCCCCCAAAAACTCATGTGTGAGACAATGCAAGAAGATTCAAAGTAGAAATGATTGGGTTATAAGATGTTAACCCAATCAATGAATTAATCCCCTGATAGGAATAACCAAGTGGTAATTGAAATAATAGGGTTTGTCTGGAGGAGGTAGGAATTGGGGTGTGGTTTTGTGGTATATATTTTGTATATGGAGAGTGGAGACTCCTTCTGTTTCTTGATCACCAAGTGAGCTGCTTCCCTCTGTCACATACTCCTCCATGATGTTCTGCCTCATCTTGAGTGGATTAAGATCTTTGAAACTGTGAGCCCTCAAATTGTTCTGGTCAGATCTTTTAGTCACAGCAGCGAAAAAGCTGACTAAAACAACCATCATCTCTTGCCTATACCATTATAGTAACCTTTTTGCTTCTGTCTTCTTCAGCTTTTTCCTTTTTTGGTTTATCTTCTACATATTACCCAGTGTGATCTTTTTTGATTATAAATTTGATTATATCACTGGCATTCTTAAATAAAATCTCAAGTCTTTTTTCCATGTTCTTAACAGAACCTACCTAAAGTAATCACTCAACCACTAGTTACTGAGTAACTATTAAATACTAGCACTATTTTCAGCAGCATGGAAACAATGGTGACTATCGAATATAACATCAGGTAGTAAAGATGATTGAAGATCTTGTATAACTTGGTTAAGTACATGAGAGGGACATTCTGGGCATGTTCCTTACCAGTTAATAAGATTAGTGGCAGATATGCCATAGCATAGTTTCATGGAACTTCAGCCAAGTTCCCTGTTAGTAGAGCTGGGTCTCTGGGTATTGCCTGGTTAGAAGTGTGGCAACCCCAGCACAGCCCCAGGATGTGTCCAGATCTTTCTTCTCTGTTATATGCTTATCTTTGTTACCACAGCCTRCTGTTGAACCATTCCATTGACTTCATTTAAGTTCTTTCTAAGTTTATTAAAATTTAGCTCAAGTTCATAAGAAATGACCAGTCATTCTTCATCATTTACTTATAAGACGTGTCCATTAGAAGTATGGATGCACTTCTTACTGGCTCAACTGTCTTATGTAACTCAAGGAATCACTTAATATGAGAAGCATTCTTACAATTCATATGTGCTCAGAACCATACATTTATCCACTAATTCAGTAGCTTAAAGCCATAAATCCTAATGCTTCCTTTTTGACTTTATTATTCCAAAGCACAATCAGGACAACATTCTTYAGAAAGTTCCTCAGTGAGTGTAGAAATGATTGGTGCGTGTAGTTACAAACACTTAGGTCATTCATGATTATAGTAATATATAGCATGTATCTGATTTTGTCAAGTTTGCTGCGAGGAGTTTTGTTTGAGTGAATGAGAGCATTCTAGAAAAGGTTTTTTTGTAGTTTCAGTCTGCCTTCAGTTCTGATAGGCCCAATGCATTCATATGCTTTCACGGGGTAAGTGTTAATAGTTTCTCCATATTTTTTTTATTCAGACGACATGAAAATGGAGACTGAGATTAAGAGAAACAAAAAGACTCTTCTAGACCAGCATGGACAGTACCCTGTGTGGATGAACCAGAGGCAAAGAAAAAGACTGAAGGCAAAGCGAGAAAAAGGAAAGGGGAAGAGCAAAGTGAAAGCAGCAAAGGCAGCAAAGGGTTTGGCCTGGTAGACTCTTAAAACTTGAAGAATTCTACATGGGACAGATGTTTGATTGGAGAATGTATACATTGATTTTGACTGTCACTAAATGAAAACTATTCATTTTCATATTTTAAGTTGACTTTTTGTCTTCAATTCAAACCCAGAMTAACCCCTCAAGTTTGTTTTGGAAACTTGAATAAAGTATTTTCTTTGGTAAATGAAAGGTATATTGATGTTTTAATTGGATGTCACTCAATATCTRTATACTATAAGACATCAAAATTCTGTCAAGAATTAATATGGTTTACCAGGTGTGTTGGAACACACGTGATCCCAGCAGCTCAGGAGATTTAGGCAGGTGGATTACAAGTTCAGCGACAGCCTCAGCAACTTAGCGAGTTCCTAAGCAACTGAGACCATGTCTCAAAAAATAAAAAGGTTTGTGGTGTGGCTTAGTGGTTGAGTGCCCCTAAATTCAATCCCTGGTACCAAAAAAAAAAAAAATTGATGTGGTTGTAATTGTTGGATCTTACAACTTGGTAAAATCATCCAATAAAGGTAAAATGATAAACTGACAAATTTGAGCGAACTCAAATATAAAAAGCTATTATGTAGTTATATTTTTTAAAAATGTGACATCAGTGGGTCTTATAAATAGTACTAGATTGAAGTTTTGATTTCTGTAATTCAGAATAAAAGATATTTTGTGTGTAAAACTTTGATCTTTTCTTCTTTTGTATATTATGAAGGTTTCTCAGTACTAGAAAAGACCAGAAATTTCCATTAAATTATTTAAAAGTCTTAGGTGGAATATGTGAATTTATACAAATCAATATGTTTCAAATTAAAGTACCTCAGATTTTTCCTAGAAACTTACTTAATGTTCTTCAGTTTTAATATTGTGTAGCCTAAATATAATATAGTACAGCTTTCCCAGAGTATGTTTTTCAGAATCCACTTCTCCAGGTGCTTTTGGGGAAAAAAAAAAAATTGTGGTCACATCAATTTGGGTAATGCTATATACCTAAAGAATGACAGGAAATATTACTTTATTATTATATGGTCTTATATAGGTCAGTTTCTGAGAAATAGAATACATTATCGAAAATGTTGGTACTAGGGGCTGGGGATGTGGCTCAAGCGGTAGCGTGCTCGCCTGGCATGCGTGCGACCCAGGTTCGATCCTCAGCACCACATACCAACAAAGATGTTGTGTCCGCCGAGAACTAAAAAATAAATATTAAAAAAAAATTTCTCTCTCTCCTCTCTCACTCTCTCTTAAAAAAAAGAAAAAGAAAATGTTGGTACTGTAATGGAAGTTAGTTTTAGTTAAATATCTTGCTATAATTTGCTAATTTCAATCAACTTTAATCAATCTAAATTTCTCATTTCCTCTGAAATTCCAGTCTAATCAGATTAATAATCTTATTTGTTTACTGACATAATGAAATATTTATTGAGTACTTCCTTTGTACCAGGGACTTYTCTAGGTACCGGGTAATATTACCTGGGTACGTAGAACTGAGAACTGTGCACCTGCTCAGAAGAAGACGTTAAATACACCAGAAAATCAAGTGAAGGGTGAAAATTTTTAGAATAAATTCACTTGGCCATGAGGTCACAAACTGCCAAGAATCTTAGGAGGCTGGGGCATAGTATAGATAGATAGGATATGACCAAAATCCTATAGAATTTTGGAATCTATAAAATTTAATGCCAGTAAAATAATTGAAGTTATTTTAATAGGCTTTTCTTAATTAATTCTATTTCATTTCAGAAGTTAGTGGATAACTTCAAATATTTAAAATAGGTTGGACATGTAGGTCAGTGATAGAGCACTTGCCTAACATTCATAGAGTCAKGTTCAATCTCCAGTACCACATACAGATACACACAGAGATTTAGACTGACGTTTCAAAAGTAGTGCAGGGTGTGATAAATCGAGAAGTAGCACTTATATCTATTATTAACTTATCTTTTAAAAAAAAWTTTTTTAGTTGTAGATGGACACAATACCTTTATTTTATTTTTATGTGGTGCTGAGGATCGAACCCAAGGCCTCTGCATGTGAGGGGAGCACACTACTGCTGAGCTACAACCCCAGCCCCTTATCTTTTTAAAATTTATCTTCTTTTAATTTGACTGATGTTTTCCAGAGAACTGTAAAACCACCAGGTGGAGCTCAAGCTAAATACCAAATCATTTTTGGAATTAGGTTGAACTATTGCATTAGGAATTGAATGTAAAGTTTTTGTTGTATTTTTTAAAAATTATATTCAAATATTTAAGAATAATCAAAATAGCATAAAGTATTAATTCATTTAATTCATCCAGTAATCCTGAGTTGGGTGCTAATATTCTGTCTTTACACAGAATGAAACTGAGGCACATAGGCCATGTATACAAAACCAGGAGACCTGCGATTCAAATTCAGGCAGCTGGGCCCTAGAGCCTGTACTCTCAGAATGACAATCTGCCYCTTCAGGATGCCCAAAATTGCTAAAAGAAAAAGGTGATTTTAGGGTAGAACACTTAATTTTTGGTTCAACCCATGATGGGTTAGGTTGATACAGACTCAGGATCAGATAAAGAGCAGGTTTTAGTAAAGAAATGATTGTTAGAATGCTCCTCAAACCTCTGGGCCTAAAACAGACTGGATTTCCCTAAGAAACTCTTCATTAGGAATGGACCCACCTTTTCCAAAAGAGGAAGGTATGGCCATGATCATCATTGCACAGGCTGCCACTGATAAGAAATGTGAACTGCAGTTGAAGTTCTAAGTAGTAGTTTTGACCACGTTATTTTTTCTGTTGTCAAATTAATGTAGATGCCTATCTTTTTCCACTACTTTGCATGCTATATGAAATATGCAACAGTGTATATTTGCTTGTTAAGAAATTTGAATGTTTTCAAAATTTGGACCTACATATCTAGGATTTTTAGAAGCTGGAGAAGAAAAACTATCTGGCTCTAAATGACTTGATTCAACGATCTGAAATGTACTGGTGGGTGGTGACAAGAGACAATGGTGTATAGTTTAGGCTAGTGAAGTGCTAGTCACAAAATAAAATTAGGGGCCTCTAAAGAGACATCAAGGAATTGCCAGATCTATCTATCTATCTATGTATGTATCTATTTATTTATTTTGTACCAGGGATTGAACTCAGGGGCAYTCAACCACTGAGCCAAATCCCCAGCCCTATTTTGTATTTTATTTAGAGACAGGGTCTCACTGAGTGACTTAGCGCCTTGCAGTTGCTGAGGCTGGCTTTGAACTTGTGATCTTCCGSTCTCAGCTTTCAGAGCCACTGRGGTTATAGGCATGCACCACTGTGCCTGGCCAGAATTGCCAAATTTATAAGCACTACAATTGAAATTCAGATATTAGACTTGGGTAATCTTACTAGCTAAGTGGCTGACTTATGCCACCTGGCAGATTGATTCAACTATGTGCTAGGCACAAATATAAAGAATTCTTTTTTCCTAGTATTTGCTGGCATATGAGAACACTATTACAGCAGACACATACCCGTTTTACAAGAAAGGGTTTGTGGGTGAGGGATGACCTTTAAAGGTTTACAAGAGTTTAAAAGCCATTCTGCTGTCCATAGGGGCTATCAGGCAGCTAGAAGGACCAGAGCCAAGGTTGGGCCTGCTTAGGAAAAGAATGCTAAAATTTACATAGTTGAATGTCAAAGGTCTTTCACACCTATTTTAGAACAGGGAAACAACACAATTTCATGTCACATAAGACTCATTCATTAGGGTAGTAGTAAACAACCAAAAGGGCCAACATTTAGAGAATGCTTATTGTGCTAAATTCACTTATATAAAACAAAGAAAGGTGTGGGAACAATACTCTTATCCCTAACTTCAGATTAGAAAACCGAATAGGTAGTGCAACTGTTAAGTAGTGAACAAAACTGTTCTGAGTATAGAATGAATACCTATGATGCAAAGTCATAAAGAGGGCCTGACTGCATCTAAAGAGGAACCTTGTAATCAAGATAACTGGGAGAAGTAATGAGCTGAAGTGGGAGTAGTACCCTGTCAAGCTCAGGCTGGAAAACCAAGTGAAATATAGTAGAATGGGTTCAAATGCTGTACTTGGAACTCAGGTCAAAAGTTGCTGACATTCTTTTCAGCCAAGAACTGCCTTATATAAAAATGTTGTATTTGAAATGTATTGGGTTTATTTTGCTCTATCCAGTCTTTTGGTGCTACATGATTCTAGACTTCAGTATCTTTTTTTGATAGAAATAACAAACTCTGAAATCTTAATTTTATTAATGTTAAGTCTGGTACTCATTCAACCAAGTTTCAAATTAAAGTATGGAAAAAACGTTATAAACATCTGCTTTAAACAATGAGTGGGGTAAAGACTTTCGAATTTTAATTTAAAGAATAACATAGCTTTATAATATATTAAGTTTATAATATGCAGAATGTATTTTATTTCCTAAAGCAATGAATTGTCTTGGCATTATGCTATCTTATGAAACACTTTCTCACTCTCACATTGTGTCTTTGTAGTTTTCAATATCAGCAAAAACCTTTAAGTGGTCTTAGTTGGGTGTTGTGTATCATTGTACAGTAACTGCTAGTACATATGGAATTTCTGATCCGTGTAATAAAGTACATTTGTCATGGATCTTGTGATCTGCATACCTTTCAGCCGTTACTTCATAAATCTGTTCCAYTGGAAAACTGCTTTGTACAGCAATGGTTGAAGCTGCTTTTAATAAACTAATATTTTGTGTCTTTTATATGTAATCAACAGGGAGTATTATRGACTTGTGCCTCTGTGGAGAAACATTCCACTAAACTTCTTTTCTCTTGACAATAATGGAAAAAAATAGCTCAGGAAAAGCACAGATGTTCAAGAACATATGTTGTTTGCTCCTCAGTCAGCTGAGGATCTTTTGTATAGCTCCAGATTTCCCCCCCCCACCCAATGCTTCAGAGAAGAAACCGTTTGAGGTGTGTGATGGGGAGAAGTTACAAATTTCATTGAGAGACCAACATTGGGTGCTATTTGTCAAAATTCTCAAATGCCTCAACTTGCTCCCACAAAGAGATGATATTCTTGAGCAGAACTGAAGGCAGTTGGCCAAAGACTGGTCATTTCCACATGCTTCCCTATTCAGATGTAAGCACTCTACTCTTCTTTTAGTTTTCCCCCAAACTTCAATTTACCAGTATCTTCAACAAAGCAGGTATTTAATCATTATTAAATACAAAGTGGTTGCCTCTATACCCTCTTCTACCTTGAGTTATTGGATAAGGGCTGTTCTTTCTTGAGCTGTAGAAATCTCCACAGCTGAATCTGAAATCTCAATGAGTCAGATCTCCACAGCCTGGGCAATTGGTTATTAACATATGTACAGGAAAATATTCTTGGAAAATACTTTATAAAAAAGGAGCTATGTGCCTTAGGTGACGTTGGTATGAA